TTCCATACCCACGCATTCAGTAATGATTTCAAAACCTCTCTTGCCTACTTGATTAAAGCTTATTGAAGGAGAAGGGATACTAAAATACTGACAATAAACTCAACATGCGTAGCTGTAAATAAGATAGCAAAGGCCAAAAGCCAAACTAATAAATTTCTATGATTTTCATATTGGGAAATATATTCAACAGGAATATTGGTATGCAAGATGAATTTAAATAGTGAATTCCTAACATCACTAATAAAGCAAACAGAATCACATGGCCTCCTAAATAAATATCCAATCTCTTTATGATTAGGATCACAGCTAAACATCATCTATTTGCCTATTCTGATAGGTAATTTAAGCAAAATTAGTTCAGGGAAAAAGTTAATAAATAAAAACTAATTCTGAAAAATAAAAGTTTTTCTGATCATGTTTTAATTAATCTAGACCAAGTGACTCTCTAGCACCTAATCATTCTATACCTCTTTCCCCCACATACACAGGCACATATGCACACTGGATAAGAGGTATTACATGTTATTTCTTCAAACTGTTGGGCAATAGCTGTCAGTGAAGCTAATAGGCATCTTGTTTCTTTCTTTAATTGAAGAGACTGCCTTTTAGAAATTACATCAAAACTAATGTGCCATTAAAATGTGTGTAAATTTATTTTTAATGAAGAGAGTAATTTTTAAGTGACTGTGTTTCTAAAAACATAGGAAACAAATCAATTTCCTTCTCAATCAAAGTGGAACAGCAAGCATAGGCATGTATATACTTTTCTATTTCCAGGAAACATTTTAATCTCTTGATTTCAATCTTTCTCTGGTATGAGTTTCATTCACTCATGTATTCATTTAAAAAAAAAGCATTAAGTGCCAATTCCATACCAGACACTGCGCTGGGAATACGAAGATGCGTAAGAATAGTCTTTGCCTTTGAAGGACTTAACATTTTACCAAGGACTATTTAGCAAGTACTCCACCACTCCCCACTTCACAAAAAGGAAATTATCACCATGACTGACATCTGGTGCAGGCCTCATTACTGTATGAATTAGAGCATTTATGACAATGTTGAGCAAATTACATTTGCAATCCTTAGGTTACTGTCTGTAAGTCTAATCCCAACAAGAATGAAGCATTTCATATTTGCACACTTGGTAAAAGAAGGCTGCAGATCTGTGCAGACAGAACTCTTTTAAAACTAATCTATATTGGCAGTGGCCTTTTCTAACAGAACCTCCATGAATTCCGAACTGCCAACATATATGCGTTCATAAACCAGAAAGGCTCAAATCTCCCTCAGTGTGAACTCAATAAAGAGATGACTAGAGATAAGGACAAGTCAATACTGAGGTGGTGGTGGATAATTTTTTCCACAATGAAGCTTCTACAATACACTTCACCCTATACCACCCCACCTCACCCCGCCACCTACACACAGACAAATGGTATAAGTATGTGAGAAAACCAAGAGAAAGTCCTTTTCCTAGATGAACTATAGGTACTAAAATAGAACAAAATATCTTACCAAATAGCATCCCTTCTGTAATTTTAACAAACAAAAATGCTTATTTACAGGGCTTGGTGGCTAGAAGGTGGTATAGTGACTTGGCATCTAGATTTGACTCTGTCTGATCACAGGGCTGCAATGCTCAAGAAAAGTACAGTGGGGATTATTTTAGAATCAGATACCATGTATTTTGCCTTGGTGCTTTATGAGTATGCAGATATAGCCCTACAATTTTTGGAAAGCGGGAACAGCACCTCCTGGATCGGAAGATTTCTATGTCTGGAAAGACCATATTTATATTTCTAAACTAGTATCCATATGTCTGTCCTTGAGCCCTTTCAGAAAAAGCTCAGGAGTAATGCATTGTACAGATTTCATTTCTTTCCAAGAAGCCCAATGCAAAGAAAAGACACTTAGAAATTCATTTTTATAAAACTATGGTCAGCCCAGGAGAATAAAAAAATGGTGTGCTTTCCCTCACTGGTTTAACTTCTACGCGTGCTATTTTCTATATAGTATAAAAACCACAGGAGCTTGAAATCTTCAGTCTATCCTCTGTTAATTTCAGCAGACGTGCACTACATGGTTTTAAGGACATTCCCTCCCTCTACCCGCAGAGCTCTCCCTCCTCCCTACACAGTCCAAGTGAACTTCGGGCATTCTCCTCTTCGGAATCTTTGCTAAAGATGTTCCCTTTCATCAGATTTCACTTGTCAAGAAAAACACATTTGTTGATAATTATGAGATCTACCCCCACAATCTCAGCTGAACTCGTCATTCATTATTTTGAGATTTGCCAGCTTTTTGATGCTATATACCTGGGGAAGGCAACTTGTCAGCAATAGGGAAAATGCAATCATGTGAATATACATGATATCTTTCTCATGATACCGTATGAAAGATAAAGACTGCATGGTATCACATGTGGAAACTTAAAAAAAGTCAAACTCATGGAAATAGAGAATGGAAAAGTGGTAGCCAGGGGCTGCGGGGGCTGTGGGCCAGCAGTAAGATGAGTAGGTTCTGAGGATCTAATGTGTAACATGGTGACTACAGTTGATAACACTGTATTATATAGTGGAAGTTGGCCGGGAGTAAAACAAATATGTTCTCACCCTAGCTGGTTTCGCTCAGTGTTAGAGCGTCGGCCCACAGACTGAAGCAGGGGTCCTCAAACTTTTTAAACAGGGGGCCAGTTCACTGTCCCTCAGACCGTTGGAGGACCGGACTATAGTTTTAAAAAAAAACTATGAACAAATTCCTATGCACACTGCACATATCTTATTTTGAAGTAAATAAACAAAATGGGAACAAATACAATATTTGTATTTGCATGTGGCCCGCGGGCCATAGTTTGAGGACCCCTGGACTGAAGGGTCAAGGGTTCGATTCCAGTTAAGGGCATGTACCTTGGCTGTATGCTCAATTCCCGGCTCCTGTTGGGGGGCGTGCAGAAAGCAACCAATAGATGCATCTCTCTCACATTGATGTTTCTCTCTCTTTGTCTCTCCCCCTTCCTTCCACTCTCTAAAAATCAATGGAAAAAATATCCTCAGGTGAGGATTAACAAACCAACAAAAAAAAATGTGTTCTAACATGCACACACAAGATAAATATGTGAGGTGATGAATATGCTAATTAAGTAGATGGGGGGAATTTTTTCGTGTATGTGTGTATGTGTGTATATATCAAATTACCATGATGTACACTTTAAATGTCTTACAACTTTATATGTCAAGTACGCCTCAGCAAAGCTGAAATTTAAAAAAATATATGGTGTCACTTGGAAAATGTGTCCCATAGTGAGGAGGAATAAGCCTTTTAGATATTAAAATATATCAAAGCTAATGATTAAAATATATTCTGGTAGTGAATATCTACAGATACACCAATGGAATGGGATAGGAAGGCAAAAAAACTGACCCAAAATATATATAAGAACATAGTATACAAGAAGGGTGCCAACCTAAATCAGTTGACTACTATCATATAATCCAATGATGTCAAATGTGATTAATGCCTAGATTGCATATTTTTTAAAAAGCAATAATGAGAAAGATACTGTATAAAAATGTCATAGATGATTCTATATCATATTCTAACATGATTATTGAGAAAAAATGGATA